TACAAAAATTAAAATTTAAAATTCCAAATCAGACTGAAAAAATTCATCAAGCGAATAAAATACCTTTTCACATAATACTTTCCGAACTTTTTGTTTAGAGAGCTTTACACTAGTTATTTTTTAATGGATATTGGGAGCTTGTTGTACAGTTTTTTTGACATGATATGAGGTCCATTAGTCACCTTGGCTAACTTATGACTAGGAATCAAAATGTTATAGTTTTTTCTCAGGGTGAAGCCCGAAAGAAGACATGTATCATCTCTATTCTGAAACTTGGAGCAATTTGATTTAACGTAGATTAGGCAATCAAAAATATACATGCAAGTAACAGTTAATATTTCAACTTTGCAAATAGTGGTTCACAGGAATCGAGTGGTTTTTTGAAACAAATTGTTCTAATAATCTTTTTCTGGAAAAAGATCTAATGCAGTTGCCAAAACAAATAATACAGTAATTGAGAGCAGAGTAAACATATGCATAATAGTAACTTTTAAGAACTTCAATAGACACAAAATTACGCAGATTCCATATAACGAAACAATGTGTCGCTAATTTCTTCAGTATGAAATCAACATGATGATAGGGGAACCGACTATTCTATCCTTCTGAATCAATTTAATGTAATATCTCTGAATACACGACTCTTCGTCACAATCTCCTTTCTTCACAAACTGCTAAACAATAAGATCTCGTGTGCCCCTCTTAACACCTATAATTCAATATGTGATGTGTGCGATATTAATCACAGTTCTCAAAGTTTTATTTCAAAATGTATTCTCACTACAACCTTTTAACTGTGATCCTTTTTTCTTTTCGCTTGTTGTGATATATTTCTATCTCTACTTATTTTTTTTTGCATATATTTTCATCAACACCTTTGTATATTTCCTGTAATTGGGTGAATGCCTGTTGGAAATAAAGTGCTATCAATCAATTAATCAAAAAAAACTAGCCGATACTTGATGAGAATCCATATTTAAACTAATTANGTTTTCAGAGGTAGAATTGTCGGCCCGTTCATTTATGGCTAAATTTTAAACTCCTTGTTGATGGATTGTCACTAATAGAACTCAGAAAAATATATTTTCAACAAGACGGGGCTTCGACTCACAACACTGCGATTGTCACCAATTTTCTGGCTGAAAATTCAGGTAATATTTCAATAGCCAACCAAGGACCCAAACGTTGGCCAGCCAGATTACCGGACCTAACGCCTATGTACTTTCATCTCTGAGGAAGGTTGAAAGAGCTCATTTTCACATTTTCGACCAATTCTAGATACGAATCGGAAGCGGCAAGGTTTCGCTTCTCTCACTCCTATTGAACTAATTAATTCGGCAAAAAAACGCACTGAAAAGGTGTCGCCTGTGTGTAGAAAAAGCTGTTGGACGCCTTCTCTGAAGAAATATATTTCATTGTTTGTTCTTAATCATCATTATTATTGTTGAATTTTCATTTATTAGTAGCAGTAGTAATATAGTAGTAGTATAAATTGTTATCAGTTTTATTGAAATTATGCGTTTGAATTACTCCTTTGAAAAGCTTTCTCAACATTTGATAGCTACTACTGAACAATTTCTTTCTGTTTTATCGCCACGTCATCCAAAAAACCTCAAAGCTCTGTATTCCAAAGATGATTCTAGCAAAATATCAAAATGAAAAGGTAATATTTAGCTCTTGAAATATGCAGGTCTCTTCAGAAAAAATAGGTTTTTCACATCATTGAATTCTACTTAAAGAAGTGCTTTGGACATTTTTTCATAGAAACAAAAAATCTTTGATAGGAAAAAAGTTACAGCAACTTTTCTGAAATGCACAGTTTTCGGAAGATATGGTGTAACTCAGAAACGATGAAAGATAGCGTTATGCGGTTTTCATCATTGAGTTTGTTATGAAATTTGTCCCCCAGACACAGCTAGCAGTTTTCATCTATCTACTGTCTATAATTTGGCCCACTCTGTATAATCCTTCACAAACATTCTCAAATATTCAAAGCTCCACATAGATATGATAAATCATCAAAATCTCTTGGCTGAGTTTCAAGAAATTTTTGACAGGACAAAAGTTAAAGCAACTTTTCTGAAATGCACAGTTCTGGAGCAGTTGGTAACTGACCCTACTTTCCGAAGAAAAATCATTTTCAGAGATGAGCCCTATGTCTGGGGCTCATGACAACGCTATGTGGACAAAGCTACAGTAAATGTTGATCATTTGAAGATATATTTACCTTCTCTGCATAGTAAATATACCCCTGTTGTCAGCCCCACGACGAGAATCAAACCCAGGCAGACTAACCAAAGTGTTTGTAAACTATTTCTGTGGTTTGTAGACGAAACTCCCAACAGAGAAAGATATTCCTGGGATGACGTGTTGATATTGTTTCTGCGAGACCAACCACATGAGCATCGAATTGGCACTGAAATGAAAATGGTATATTAGACAAATGTTTCATAAAAAATCATAAAACTGTAACTCGATTAGAAGTTTTTTGAACTAACATAGCTAGAAATAAACTAAAAAATAGTAGTCGACTTTAGTGCTGACTGTTGCTGATTTATTAACAGAATAAATGACTTATGGATCAGAACAATCGTGAACTATAAACAATTATGTCTATTTAAGAAACGAAAACACTAAACAGGAGGTGTTTTGTTTCTGTATTTTACACAATAATTGAACCCTGTATATTCTTTGACTATTTAATTGGATATGAGATATTTTTCCGGCAATATAACACAAGTATTCATTTATATTGAATATGGTGTAGTATCAGACGCCATTTTCAAAAAATTCAATTTGTCAGTATTATGACGTAAACTATGAAAATATTTTCAATAGTGTATTTTATTGAATTTAATGATTTTAATTTATTTTATCTTAATTGTCACAATGAACTTGAAAGCGATAACATTTTTGAACAGAGAATGAAGAGACCTTTTAAACGATATATCACAAGCCTATACTTCCTATTTGAAAAATTAGGTGTTGTACCTGTTATTCGACAGGGGTTGAAGGTAGGAGTAGCATTTTTTCGTTGAAGTATGTCAAATTATAATTTGCATTTGACGTGTGTCGAGATTTTGTCTAAATATGTAGGCACCGTAACAGAAATAATGAGTTTATTCCATTTGGCTTTTACACACTGTATATGAACCAAAAAAAATTGGTTTGGTATTAGTATTGTTGATGGTACGTGGTCAAGATGCTATGTCTTGTACGGTGCTTGCGAACGAGAAACTGAATTTTTTTTATACTTGGTGATATACCAAACTTTCTCTCTGAGAGAAGGTGATTTATTTGTATGGGCGAAAATAAAACATCATATCGGATATCTCCCTGTGTGGTATGCTAGATAACTTACCAAACAATTTTCCGGATTTAAATATCGAACTTATTAATGTGATAGATATTATTAAGGCTACAAAGAAAGTGAAAAACATGTGGAAATCATACAATAAACTTTATTAATTAGTTTTTTTCATATCAATAAGGATCGCAACAATTGGGAAGGAATATAATATTATATGAACTTTATGATTTTTGGCATGAAGTAATGAAAACAGACGCTCTTGAGAAAATAAGAAGCACTAAACACCAATAAACATTTACATTTTTTTTCGACACATGAACAATCAATTAAAAGTGAAAACATCCTAAAAATCAGGTTAAAATTACTGAGACATTTGAACAACTCATATAACTCATAATATGATAAAAAATAAAAGAGAATACTTACAATTCAAAGACAGTGAATCAGACATTTTGCAGGAACAATAAAGAACTCATTTTAATCTATCACTAAAACGATTATAAAACTACAGCACTAGAGAACAACCAGCACCAAAACACTTCGTGATATGGACAATCTGATAAAATGAAATAGGTATATGTTGATAGATAAAACGGTTCACAATGGAATTATATCGCAGAATGAGGTCGAATCCTCGTCGACATTTGGGAAAAACTGGTAGATATTAAACCTGGATTTTGAGTCGTAAAGCGATTAAAATAAACAATTACCGTATCTCACAGTGAGTCATGTATAATATTGACGATTGGTATTTGTATTAGTTTGGAGCTTTCAGCAGTTATGAACAGATAACAAATTGTAAGGAAATATAAACAGAAATTTAAAGAAAATGCAACAGTAGTTTAATGTTTGTGTGTTATGTGCGTGTTATCTTTTTTTTGTTAATGAATGTTTTATTTATTCATGGCGTCCTGAAGTGTCAATGTTTCACGATCCTGTTGTTAATATCAGTGTCTTGTGTTTCCTTCTCGTCTGATACTCCAAGATATTTGTACAATGTTACTTGTTCTATTCTTGTTCCTTCTATTTCTATTCGCATCTCTTTTCTATTTTCGCCTGTTGTCATTACCTGTGTTTTGTTTTTATTCATCGTCATTCTCTAATCCTTTAATACTTCATTCCATGTATCCAAATATTTTGTAATTTTTTTTCACTATCTGCTATGCTCACTATATCGTTTGCCATGCTTTATTAACACACGGATTTATTTTTCATCCATTTTTGCTAGACTAACAAAAGTTACTCCACTCAAAATGTTCTATCCCACAAACTAATAGTCCAATAGCTAGGAAATTTGTACACGTGCCTATTGAAGGTTATGATTAACTAAAAATCATATGGAATCAATACTGGTAGCACCATCTGTGTGTTAGCCTATGAACTCGTCAGCACATCGAACACATTATAGCTATTTTTCACATATTATCGGTTACTTTGAAAAAAACAAATTTTTTCGTTATTACAAAAATACTCTTTTCATTTCAAGCTGTTTTTTCTTTGAAAGCTAAGAACCTACTTTTAGAGCATATTATAAGTTTATAAATAAAGTGAATAATAAAGTGGTAACTATGTTTTCCAATGGGGTGCTAAGTAAGGGGTGATTTTAGCTTTTTTTTTGTCAACGACAAAATAGGAATCAACCATATTTTCGTCACAACTCACTTAGTTTCATCTCTACTTCTTGTAAATAATGAAAATTACATTTCAATTAGGGTAACGACTGTTTAGTGAGATGATCCACATTTCCAAATACCTATGTTGTCTGTTATTGATAACATAGATAAACTTCGGACAACGTTCGGACGTCCAACGTCCGAAACGTTGACGGAAAATTAAATTGTTCATCTACGGAAAAAGATTTTCGACCTCTTTCTCAACTAATAAAAAAACAGCATTTGAATGAAATTTACAGTTTTGTCTCTAGCGAATGAACAAGGTTTCAAGTACCCCTTGATTTAATTAATCAACATTGTCCGCATGATGCTTTGATTTTGTCAAAACGTAAACTAATGTTTCTATTATTACAAGGCCACCACGTAAAATTATATGACGTTCGTTTTTATTATGCACGCTCATGTAGTCTGAGGAATATGGAACATGCAAAATACCAACTGGTACGAGAAATGATAACAGACGCAGTAACGAACGATAATAATTGGCGAGTGGTAGATTTTATCTTGGTATTTCCAAGAGCGATATGAAAACCCCTGAGATTGGTGAAATTCCAAACATGACAAATTTCTGTTGCATTCGGTACAATCGATGAAGTAAACGAAATGTAAAGCAGAAAAATCAACAAGAATATATCACAACCTACTTGGTGACGTTGCTAAAGAACAATTCATTATTTTGTCTTTGGTAAAAATAATTCACATGGAAAGTACATAGTTCTTTATTTCAAATTAAAAGAGGTTGACATAATGAAAGTACTGGGGGGTTACCAGTTTCGTTGATTGGAATTTTTGTTGCATTCGGTACAATCGATGAATTAAAGGAAATGTGAAGCAAAAAAATCAGCAAGAATATATTTAGTATCACAACATAGTTGGTGACGTTGCTGAAGAACAACTCATCTTTTTGTCTTGGAGACATTCAAATTTACATGAAAAATCTTTCGTTGTGATATAGCACACACTTGGTGAGAATATGTTCCACACTTCGAAGACTACCACACACTTCACATACTGGGGGTTCTTCTTCAGATAAAACGACCTGAGCTTTTCTTTCATTGGGGGTAATTTTCCAAGGATATACTGACTGTTTCATTTCATGAAGTTTTGCTGACGAACTATTCCATTGGGATTGCCACCTGTTGATGATCGTTTGCTTGTATAGTTATTTCAGGACCGTATCTGTTAGCGGGTTAGTAATTGCTTCTTCAGTTACTTTGTCAGCTCTTTCATTTCCAACTATGCCATTGTGTGAAGAGACCCATATAGGTAGATAGGTCTAAAGTGAGTGGGTCTATTCGATGCTCCATCGCAACCCACAAGGGTTTATTGTGGTTCACACCTATTCACACTCGGCCAAATAAACCCAGTTTCTTAACGAAGCCGATTAGTTTGAATGGTGAGTGGTCTTTCAGGTCAGATGGTACAAAGTATATGCTCTGTCCGAGAATACTTTCATTGACTTGTTAGTGAGGTTGAATTTATCCAATTTCTCCGCACATAATTCAATAGCGTAAATTTCCGCGTGAAATACAGTTCCATAAGTTCCTAGGCAGGTAGATAATTCTGTCCTGAGTCTGCGACTAAAAACACCTATACCAAAACCGGAAGGAGCCAGCCCTCTCTACTCGAGAATAGTACTTTATGGGGCAGTTCGTAGTTGACAGTTGGAGGCATAAAGTCAGAGGTCATTTCCAAAAGTCTGTGACTTCCAATGTCAACCAACAATCCTGCATTGAATTGATTTGAACAATTGGCAATGTGCACAAGTCTGTATGCAGTCCATCTAGCCTCTCTCTCCAGAAAAATGTGGAGAGGAGGTAGATCTAGAAGGATCTTCATGGCCGCTGACTGTGTGGTACTGATGGCACCACTGATAGCCAGACAAGCCTGTCTCTGTAAGCCAGAGAGTTTCGCTTGGGCCGTTTTCTGTAAAGCCTTCAGCCACCAAGCAATTGCACTATTAGTGATCATTGGTCTGACAATCATCACATGAATCCAATGGATTTGTTTGGGTCTTAAACCTCAAGTTTTACCACAAATCCTTCGACATGTCCATAGAGACAGTCTGGCTTTGTGTTGAACTTTTTCCAAGTGAGCGTTCCAGGTGACAATGGACAAGGACAATGCCAGTATATTTCACCTCCGTTCCAAATGGAATAACCACACCATTGAGGGGAAGTGGTCTTATATCGTCCAATTTTCTCCTCTTGGTGAAGGGGATCAACACAGTTTTGCCGGGGTTGACAGACATCTGCTCCCTCAGGCACCAACTGTGAACCACGTCAAACGCGCTTTGGAGGATATTAAAAGCTACCTTTCCCGATTTGGACTTTGCCAGAATGACAAGGTCATCTGTATAAGCTTGCAGATCAACTTTTTTTCTGTCGAGGACATCAAGCAGACTATCCACTAGGAGCGACCACAGAAGGGGAGATAGTACACCACCTTGAGGGCAGCTCCTGGTGACCCTGAACCTTATAGCCTCGCCTTGAAGAGTCGTAGTTGCAGTTCTGTTTACTAGCATGGCATAGATCAAGCCAGTTATGGTCGATTCTATACCCTTCCTAGCCAGAGACAATCCTATAGATTCAGGTAGTGCATTGTCGAATGCTCCTTCAATATCAAGAAATACAGCAACCGCAATCTCCTTGTTGTCAAAGGATCGGGAGATTTTCTAAACGAGGTTGTTCAATGCTGAATCTGTCGATTTGCCGGTTTGATAAATACACTGGTGGTTATTCAGGGGGATGCATATAATGCTACCCTCCTGATATGTCCGTCTAGTATCCTCTCAAGTCCTTTCAGCAGGAAGGATGTAAGGCTGATTGGTCGTACCGATTTGGGGTGTGGCTCTCTCCGGCTCACTTCAGGTATATATACCACCCTTGCTGCCAACCAACTGGGTGTTATATAGTTCCACGCCAGACTAGCTCTATGTTTACAATTTTGTGAGGATAAGTGAAATTACTTCCAGTCCATTTTGAAGAAGAGCTGGAAATATACCATCCTCTCCGGGAGATGTGAAGGGCTGAAAAGATTTGATAGCCCATTCAACTGCCGGTGCTGTGAAGAGAGACCCACATAAACTGGATGAAAATATGTTTTTGATGTAGTGAGTGGAGAGACTGTTTTATGAGAATCAAGATGGGATGATTGGTGTATAGTTGTGTAATTGCTTCGAGAGCTTTCAGCGAATCTGTAATAACCAAGCATTTCGGGATGTTCTTATCCCCTTTGTACTTTAATGCTCCCCAAATAGCGTTCAATTCACTAGTGAATATTGTGTTTTCTTTCGCTAATTTAAATGAATAGCTGAAGTCAGAGCTGGTGAAGGCTGCCCCTACTCTATCTTCCATTCATAATGGAAAGGAGTCTTCGTATTGCTCCAGAAGTTGGTTAAATTTTACATTGATGATCCTGGGATTCGTATTTTTTTTTGTCAAATTGTAGCAGTCCGTATTCAATGTTGGCTCGAGGGACTTTCCAGGGAGAAGTTTTGGGTGTATGAGGAATTGACAAAGTACTTGGTTGTTCGAGTGTGAGACTCGAATGATACTGGTTATATCTTTGGTAAAAGAAAGGTGTGCTCAAATTTTTTTTGCAAAAATGATTTTGAAACGCTCCGCTATTACAATGTGCTGTACCGGATTTTCTGGATGCAGCTGCGTAGGTGGAGGTCATAAGCTTCCTTCTGTTGGCTAATGATGGTTCGCTTGTTTCACAGTATGATTTTTTTGTTGGACTTTTGCAAAAAAGCTTCGAGAATAGTTCTGATGGCATTGTTGTGGATGGTATCCAGTTGTTCCAATATGGATATTTCGACAGAGTTGTATACTATTACCCCTTAGTCCAATTTAGACCTGATCACTGATCAGACTGGTAGTAGAAGAGTGGTATTATCATTATTATATATGCCTACATATGAGTATCACCCGTACGTCTTGTTTCAGCCACACAATAGCTCTGAATTTGAAATGCAAATGAATGTATATTGTTCCTCATAATTCGAGTTATATTCCATGGTTGTATCTGGATTCCTTTGAATGAATCACAAATCCTCCATCCAATAAAATTGTCATGTTCGTGATTTTATCAGATTA